TCAAACATCATCTGCCAAGTTCTGTTTGCTGAGCAACGAGGATGAATTCATCAAGTTTTCTGTTCGTCTTTTTCATGAGACATCCAAATTAATCGCTGGGGCACGGTGAGCTGCTTTCATAGTGACGCCTCTGAATATCATGCTGTCACTAATATTATGCAGAATAAATACAATCTGCAAACAAGGTCACACCATAACAAGACCTTCAGTAAAATTACATTTCATCACTTTTTTCATCTGTACAGACTCATGAGTACATTCCTGTGGTGCGCACCTTCCCGCTGCCTTTCCCGAAAGCCTTCAAGTATTTCAGGCTATGTTTTGGAAAGTTTTGATTTGCAAAACTTTTGTAAATAATCCTTATTTTATGTTTTAATGCAGAGACAATAGCAAAGCTGTCATATGTTTGATGATATACTCCTGTAGAAGTGAAGGAGCTGACAGGTGAAACCTCTTCCTTAGATGAACATGATCAATAATCATGTATAACCACTATATTAAAAATCAAATATTCTCATTCAAACCAGGAAAATGTTCGTATTAAAAATTAAAATTATGTCACTTGAAATTGAAATGTTGAGGTGACCACATGTGACCACATTGAGGCACATTTGAATCAGGCACAAATGACACAAGCACTGAGTGTTAGCTCTCCATATATTTTCAAACATTTCCCCCAAAAGCAAGAAAAAGCCCCAAAATTCTGTTATTTTACTGAACGTAGTATGATGCAACACAGGATCAACAATACAGCACCTGCAGTATTAAGTGTGAGTCAGTTTTATCCATGTGTTTAAAAACATCCATGTCAGCATGACACACGGTGCAGTCATCGAAACAGCTCATCAAAGCTTTTTTCCTGTTAGATCGCCCATGAAAGAGATTTGGAGAAGTTGACAGAGAACAAAAAGAGCAAAGTTCCCGGTAAACCACGTCGCTTATAGATTGCTACCTGGAACCTGGATGAACTGGACAAGGTGTGTGTGTGTGTGTGTGTGTGTGTGTGTGTGTGTGTGTGTGTGTGTGTGTGTGTGTG